AGCTGACTGATTTCAGTAGACCACCAAGCTTGTGGTGGAAGTCTCCCAGAAGGTTTGCTTTTAGTCATGGTAAAGTTACATATTACATTTAGCTGTCTATTAATATTATTTATTTTTTTATAGAATTTGGGAGACTGCGACAGTGCATTACTCCATTGGAGAATATTAATCACGTTATCACAGGCTTCAGTATTAAATGATTTTGTATTCCACCTAGGGAAGCTGTTATTCTTACTTCTTCGCATATTCGATGGTGTATACTTATAGCTAATATATTTGTGATCAGAAAGAGTTTCATCTTCAAGGACACACCATTGAGTGATGTTGGGAAATGCATATCGGTTTGAAAGAGTAATGTCGACTATCGACGAACCCTGGGGCCTAACGCAGGTATAATTATTCCCGGTGTTAATAAAGAATAGGTTGTTAGATCTGGCCCAATTTGCAAGGATTCTTCCACGGAGATTGCTTTTGTCACATCCCCATACCGGATTAGCAGCGTTAAAGTCACCGCCTAGAACAAGTGGGATGTTATGCAAGTTTTTTATATTTTTACTAATGGTACGAAGTCTGTCTTCAAATAGAGAGCGATTTTCGTTGGGAGGGAAATATACCGATACAATAATAAGTCCCTCTATATCAATAATTAGGATATTATTATAGTTGAGAATCATTTTAGGCGGGGTTTGTACCTTATGGTTAAGTATTACAGCTGCTTTATTGCTTTTATCTCCGTACCAACCGGCTTTCATAGGGTTGTGTGGTTCGCAGACCAATGCCAGATCGTACCTCTCATTGTATAAGTGTGCCTCCAAAAGGGATTGTGCGGCAGCCGCATGATTTAAGTTCACTTGGATAATTTTTATTGTTGTCGAATTTCGTTGACGGTCCATTAATTAACGTTTCTTTTTTTTTCAGGTTCCTCCGTTCCTGGGCACAGCGTCTTTGGAGTATCCGGACAAATTGTCGGAACAGCAGGTAATCTCTTCGACTGATTCTTTTTATAGTTAACATAGGAGTGACATTTCACCGATCCCATTCGATGCTTGGATTCAAGTTTACTTCTTTCGCAGAGCTTACAGATGCAGTTATCCTTCGTACACTCATTAGATGGGTGGCCTTGTTGGCCACATTTATAACACCAGCCTGCCATATCCACTTCAGAGGTGCAATTTCCTCGTACATGACCAAATGCCCAACATTTGTAACATTGGACTGGCCTGTTTGCGAGAGGAAGAAAACGTGCTGTTGACCAGCCAATCCGAGCTACCTGTTTAGAAAGAAGATTATAAGCTACAGGCTCACTGCATTTACACCAGGCTGTAGCTCTACCTTTGGCGTTGGGTCTAATTGGACCGAGAATAAAATTCTCGTTTTCGCCAGAAATTTCTTTGAGAGCGTTTGTGAGTTCCAATTGAGTCGTCGAAAAATCAAGGCCTGTGATAAGAAACTCTTTGTATTTTACAGGGCATTTGACATGGACATCGTCAGGTGAAAAAAGTTTCCTGATCTTTTCGGCAAGAACTGTTGCAGCACTGGTATTCTTCTGTTTGGGGATCTCGAGTATCAGGCCTCCAGTAATAGACGCGCGAGGATTAATCGACTCGATCCCTAGCTCTTTGAGGTCTATTTTCTCCTTGGCAATACCAAGAATTTGAGGCAGCTTTAATTTGCCATTAATAGTCTCAGTTATATAAATTATCTCTACGTTTTTAGGTTTTCTTACAGGTATAACTGGACGAGATGCAGCTGGATTCGGCTTCGAGGTAGGAGCCACGCGGGAAGAGGAAGCAGGAAGACGTGGAGCAGGTAAGTACATAGCACTTGTGGGGGGATTTTGATTTTTTTTCCTATTTCTTTTAGTTACAGTTGCCCAGCTTTCCGAGGTAAGTGAGGGCTGTGTAGGAATATTAATTGGAGAGGATGAAGCACCTGGAGGGTTTCTCAGCGGAACTGGAAGGAATTGGTGAGGGGAAGAGGATGAGGACATGGGAGCAGGATGAGGACGCTGAGGCTTTTCTGTGAGGAGATTAACAATTTCCTTTCTAAAATTGGTAAGTTTAGATTCGATATTAACATTAATAGTCTCTAATAATTTATCTAAGACTGGTGTTTCAGACGAATATACTGAGTCCGGAGGACCAGATGTACTTTTAGAGGATTGCTGTGCTAATCTCGATTCAATAGATTGTAAGCGTGCTTCGAGTTGTTTAACTTGTTTAGTTAGCTTCAAGTTTTCCTCGGCAAGATCAGCAGATTTCTTACATCTGTGACTGTTTGATTTCTCGCTATCAAGTTCCGAGCACACTCTTTTTATTTTTTCTTCTGCATCCTTCAATTTTTTGACGTAGCCACCTTTAAGATTACCAGATGTCGTGCGGACGACTTGGACCTCTTGTACGCATTCCAGCAGTAACACAGCAAGATTCGAATTGGTTTCACCGTGTATGAAGGAGGTATTACCAGCTTTCTCATTATCCGAAAACTCGGTCGTAGAGATATCAGTATCCGAATTATTTCTTTTATGAGATTTCTTCTTTCCTCGACTACTATTATGCGACGACCTTGATATATTTATTCCTTCCTTTTCAGCGTTCGTACCTGAAGGAGGTCTCTTCCGTTTCGTAGAGGACGTAGAAATTGGACGGTTCTTCGCAAAAAAGTCCTCCGCAGTAGGGCCACGAGTGCCCGAAGGAGGGGTGCGAGCTAGCGAATGTCTTGGTGTATGGCCAGACGCGTAGGAAGAAAGACCTTGATGGTCATAGTTTTCAAGGATATCAGACCTTGCTGCCAATAGATAATCCTCATCGGTATTTATTAAGTCCGTAGAGGGTTTATAGCCTGTATCGTGATCTCTATCATTATTATTTGTGTTCGTGGATTTTTTCGATGTATCACCTTCAGTATTATTTCTTTTTGATGTTTTTTGTATTCCTTTTTTATTTGTGTTTGTGTCGGGTTTTTTGTCCATAGTTCGGGTTTAACGACGTATCGTGGAGAAGGGGACGGGCTGCCGGAGCAGGGGTACACCCACGGATGTCCACCGCTCCCTGGTACTCCAGGGACTCCTCCGTTGCACTTTACCCCCCCCGGAGATCTGACGGGGGAGAGCTCGTCCGGTGCGGTGGGGGCTCCGACACCCCCACTCAATATCCACTTCCTGGCCAGGGACGTCGAGGTAGTCGTCTCCTGACATGACATGGCGACGAGAGCCTCGGCAGCATACGCACAGCAGCCCGAGAGGTCTCGTGATGGGAACAATCACGGCGACATCGGGCACTTCCAGCTCCGCCGCCATGTCTGCCGGCCTACACACCATTCACTCTAAAACACATTCATCCATCACCATTCATACTGTGTGTTTGGTCCGCGGGAGGTATTTT